AGTTCAGCATGTGTGGAGGGCAGAGGACAACTTGACATGCTCACTGCTCTACCCTGCCCTATGGGTTCCAGGGATCAAACTCAGGTCCGCAGGCTTGGTGACACATGCCGTTTCACCAGGCTCCTGATTTTTCCTTAGGATAGGACTCACTCTGCAGCTCAACCTCACCTCAGACTCCCAACAGCCTTGCCCCGGCCTTTCGAGTGCTGAGATTATAGGCATGACCACTCTGTCAGACAAAGGGAAATGTTGGTGTTTCTAACTCCATGCTGGTGTTTGTAGGTGTTATATTGACAAGCTTTAGCAGATCAACAGATTTTCTTCTGTTTCTACCCGTTAGTAACTATCTGTAACTACCTGTTAATAACTATCAACATATACTCATTGTACATAGTGATGGGTTTCATAAGGATATTTTTGTTCAGCTGCATCATCTACTTTGACCAAAAATCACCACATACCTGCCACTCTCCTCCCATTCACCCCCCATTCACCCTCTCTCACTAGCTTCTTCCCCCATCGACTTTTCCACTTTCATGCATATATATATATATATACATATATATGTATGTGTGTATAAATGTATATACACGCACATACATATGTGTATATATATTCCATGTAGTAAAGAGAACATGTTAACAATTAAAAATAATAATTCTTAGATCCTGTCTCAAAAAAAACCCAAAATAATAATAATAATAAATAATTCTTTCTTTTTAATTTTTTAGACTTATTTATTTTATGTGTATGGATGCTTTGCCTGGATGCATACCTGTTCACCACATATTTACAATGCCTGAGGAGTCCAGAAGAGAACATTAGAACCTCTTGGAGCTGGACTTACAGGCCACATGGGTGCTGGGAATTGAACACAGGACCTCTGGACCACAGTGCCTTTAGCCACTGAGTCATCTCTCCTGCCCCAATGATAACAATTCTTATGAGCCATCAAGATGGCTCACAAGATGTTGTTTAAGACAAGGTCTCACTCTGTACCCTAGGCTGTCCCCAAGCTTGGAGCAATCCCCCTGTCTCAGCTCTCGTGGTATGCTAGGATGACATGTGGTGGTTTCAGCAAGCTACCTGACAATATATATAACAAGCACCACAGCAAGCTACTCAGCAGGCATCCAAACCCAATTCAACCTCTAGAACTTGAGTATGGTCCTTTAAAAAGCCACCTATTAACAATTAAAAAAAAAATTAAGATAAATCCACAATGACAAGGCCAAATGATCTTTTTAAACAGCATATAGTCAGGCAATGCGGCACAGGACTTTAATCCAAGGACTGGGGAGGCAGAGGCAGGCAGCTCTCTGTGGTTTGCTTTTGTTTGTTTTTGTTTATTTGCTTGTTAGTTTCTTGAGACAGGGTCTCCTTGTGTATCCCTTGCTGACCTGTAACTGGATATATACCCAGGCTGGCATCATATTTAGAGTTCCTCCAGGCCAGCAAAGCTAAATAGTGAGACTTATTCTCTCTCTCTCTCTCTCTCTCTCTCTCTCTCTCTCTCTCTCTCTCTCTCTCTTTCTCTCTCTCTCTCTCTCTCTCTCTCTCTCTCTCTCTCTCTCTCTCTCTCTCTCTCTCTCTCTCTCTGTGTGTGTGTGTGTCTGACTGTCTGTCTGTCTGTCTGTGTGTATATATCTCCCCCAAAGAATATTCTTGAGACAGCCTAGAACCAAATAACTGAGAACTCACCGAGGAATGGGAGTAACAGAAGCGCCAGCTCTATAAATTAACTCTGTAGCCTGTTTATGCACAGCGAACTAAAGATGTCCTAACACTAAAGAGCTGTCATGAATCCACAGGAAATTATCCCTGCACTTGGAGAAAGCAATCCACTGCGGTAAGCCTAGCCTTCCAGAAGTTTCTGGAACAGCTAGCACTGTTGTAGGGGAAGAGTGTTAACCCTGGGGTCACACCTTTCTTCCCTGATGAGTCCCTGTGAGGAGCTCCAGGCAGCCATGACCGGCAGTCAGCTGATTCACAAAATGAATCTCTATCTAAATTCTGTATGGTGAACACCCCCTAACCTAATAACTTCGCAACGGAGCTGACCGCTTACATTGCCTCCTACCCAGTGTCCAAGATCAACAGCATTTCCGCTTTAACTAGAATAACAGTCCTTAGGAGAAGCTGGGAGGGGCAGACCTAAAATACCAAACTATATTGGCATCAATGTGCGAAAATGCCACAGGACTCACTGCTTTGGACACCAAGTTAAAAAATTCAAAGTTCTGGAGCGTGGTGGGTGGAGCTTGACTAGCGTCAAGACTGGAGGTAGTGGTGCATGCTTGGAATCCCAGAGCTTGGGAACTGAGGAGATGGGGTTCCAATGTGTAAGATCATCCTCAGCTACACAAGATAAGGTCAGCTGGGGCTACATGAGATCCTGCCTCCCCATAAAGAGCCCTTTTTTTTTTTTTAATTAAAAAGAAAAAAATGAAAAGTAGACCTCTTTTGAAAACAAACTTCCCCAATTATCAAGAAACTCACCTCTGACACTACATATAGAAGCTCACATCAGTAATTCAAAATATGAACTTGGGAGGCCAAGGCAGTCTGAAGTCAGTTCAGATGTCAGATGGGACTGTATACTGAGTTCTGAGTTCCCGGCTAGCTTGGGCTATAGTGTGTGGTGCATGTGGTGAGGTGGGAGGTTATTGTATGTAGTGTGTGTGTACATGGTGTGTGTAAGTGGTGTGGGGAGGGGTATGCGTGCTGTGTATGCTGTGTGTGTGTTTGGTGGTGTGTGTCTGTGCGCATGCATGTGTGAGTTGCTTGGGTTTAAACTCATACATATGTGGAGAGAGAGACTATCTCTGAAGTTTCTTTCTGCTCTAGATAGTAAACTCAGGGCCCTGTCAAACAAACTCAAGATCAGAGCCTGGACTGCCAATCAGCTCATCAAATGTAGTAATTTGCCAGCTGAGAACAACCAGGTGGTGACTCCCTCCTTGCCATATCTTTAGCTGTCCAGAAAGATTAAAGCAAGAAAGGCAGTAATAAGCACCTAGGAGCCAGTGTGTATGATTCCCCTTATCGGGTTCTCCAAAGGGCACTGCTGCCCAGGGAACCAGCTCAGTCAATTCAGGAGCACGGGCTGGAGAGGATCATCTGCCATGTGTGGAGTGAGCACGTTAGAATGTCTAACGGGGGAGCAAACTAAAACTCACAGTGTGACAACACTGTGTAATGGTGATAGGAAGAAAGGACAGACAAAAACCGTGAGGGCTGGCTGGCAAGGTGGCACACACCTCTTCTGTCAATGCCTGGGAGCCTGAGGAAGCAGGATCCAGAGTTCAAGGCTAGTCTCAGCTACATGGTGAGATGCCATCTTGGGGGGAAAAAAAGTGTGAAGCAAACTGGAGATAAAGAATCTAATATAGCTCCAAGGATTCAGCAAAGAAATAGCCACAACGGGACGGTCCCACAGGATCTGGAGGAAAGCATTATCAGGCAGCCATGGGCTAGAGATACATATCTAGGGACCACTCCTTTACTGAGAAAGGGCAGAGCCATGTCCTATGGGAGGACAAAAAGTACAGCCAAAAAAAAAAAAAAAAAACATACAAACAAACAAAAACCCTGCACAGCTGTAGGTGGTGGTAGAGATGCTGGAGAAACAGCAACCATACCAGTCATTTAATCGTAGCAAACACACAGTGCACCTAACACACAGGCACCCTGCTGAGGGCTTCCTGTACTGATGTATTTTAAAAACAACTATGTGGGGCAGTGTGGTAGCACACGCCTTTAATCCCAGCAGTTGGGAGGCAGAGGCAGATGGATCTGAGGCCAGCCTGGTCTACAGAGTGAGTTCCAGGACAGGCTCCAAAGGTATACAGAGAAACCCTGTCTCAGAAAACACACACACATACACCCCTATGTGGAAAGCTAAGTGTGATGCCTCCTATCTGGAAAAAATAAATAGACTGTCAAGAATTCACGAATTTCAAAGCCAGCTAGGGCTCCAAGAGTGACAGCCTATCTCAAAACCAAACCAAGGGTTGGGGATTTTAGCTCAGTGGTAGAGCGCTTGCCAAGTGCAAGGCCCTGGGTTCGGGTCCTCAGCTCTGAAAAAAAAACAAAAAACCAAACCAAATGAACAGACAGATGAAAATGATATGCAAATAGGTGTTGGTACTTCTACTTGGTAGATGAGTAAATAAAGTACAGGGGTCAGATTACCTTCTTAGATCAGACACTAAGAAACAGGGATGAGCGTTAGGCACCAAATCTAGGCAGATCTGTACAGCCTGAGGGGCCTCTCTTTATTAAGACCACTGCCATTCGTCACACTAAATTCAAACAAACCTTTGAACTCTGAATCTCACAGCACTTGCCCCCCTGCATGGAGAGGCCCTCTGAATTTTACTAAAGACCTGGATAAACTCAAGCTGAAGTGGAATGTGGAAACAAACCGAAGGCCCAAGCTGAGGGCAGAGAACCTTGGTGGTGGTATTCCAGTGTCCCTGGGTTGATAAAAATCCCCATGACTCCACTAAAACAAAATCAGATTCTCCTTCTGCCACCCAGCCACTGGTTTCTTATCTTGGGCATGAAGTGGAACATGATGCCTCTGTGGGACCTCTGAAACCTGGGGCTGTAAAAACTCGGGGGAAGTAACAGCTCCAGAGGCATAGTGGGTAATAAATCTGCTGATACAACAATCAGCTGTCATAGAGTTCATCCAGTAAGTAAAAAACAGCAGCGATGGCAGAACCCAGGTGGAGGGGTTCCTGTGAGGTGGACTGGTGCTCTTGGTTGGGATCAGCCTGGCTCTCCCGGCAAATAGAGACGCAGTCTTTCTCGAAACAGCAGATTAGAAACTGAAATACTCTCTCAGGTCCCTGCTCCAACCCCACTCCCCACCCCTAACCCCGACCCTTTGCTCAAAAGGCTCCCACAGTTCTAAGTCCAGGCGCTCAGTCGCTCCCGGCTCCCTAAGTTCTCAGAGCAGCCGGGGCTCCACATCCTTCCCGGCACTCACTCACCTCCAAGGTTTTCACCAGGATCTTCATGTAGATCTCCGAGATGCCTATAGACAATCCGAAGGCCGAGGGCAACAGGATGAGGCCGATCACCAGCGTCAGCCAGGTGGACAGGAGTTTCATCGCCAGGTCTGCGCCCTCCATGTCTTCGGCGCGCCCTCTGGGAGAGGTCCCCAGGAGATCCGAGCGCGGTAGGTAGCTATCCGAGTCCCAGGCTGTCCAACGCAGCTCGGAAAACACCGCAAAAACACTTCGTCCCACCCGGAGCTGGGCTCCGGGGAGTCCGCGCCGCCCGCCTCACTCCCTTCGGCTCTGCGGAGGGAAGGGCAGAGGGAGGAAGAACTCTCAGAACTACGGCGACCTCCTTCCCTCCTCCTCTTGGGTCCCCGCTGTCCCCGGGAGCTAACTCTCCACGAGAGGCCCAGGCCAAGCTGTGGCCACCGCCGCGGGAGCAGACCTGAGTGCCGGGCGAGGAGACCCAGCTGGCGGCGATCTAGGGGACACCCTGGTGCGGTCAGAGCTCACGGAGGCAGCCAGGAACGCGCCCCACCCCGGGCCTGATTTCCTCCGGGTGGCGATTGCGACAACCCCGCGGTGACTCACCGAGGCCCTCGGGGCAGTGAGGATCCCTGCAGGTTCCCTGCACCTCCCCGTGGGCTGCGGGCTCTGCGGGCAGCCAGCCGCTTGCTTTCGGGTGCCGGGAGCCCTTTTTCTGCACTCTGCCCTTGCCCCACCCCCCTCGCCACCCAACGGGGAGCTTCCCTGGCAGGACTGCGTCCCAGGGGCACCGCTGCCTGGAGAGCCGCCGCCCTCTGCCCCGCCTCTCCCCCGCCCCCGTGCCCTGCACTCCCAAGCGAAGGTCCTTTGGGGAGCAGACTTTCCATCTTCACCCATAGAATGGACCCCTGGAGCGTCCCGGAAGCTGCGGAAAATCTTGTTTTGTGAGCGTGCCAAACGACCTCCAGGGAAAGGCTTTCCGGAGGAGGAAACTGCAGAGCAAGGTGAGCAGTCACACGCCGCCGCTCCTGGCTCCCCCACATCTCCTTCCTTACCCTAGCCAGCCGCAGGGTTGACTCCTAACTGAGCAGGGAAGGAGAAAGCTCGCTCGCGCTGTTTCTCTCCACAAGTCGCCTTAACCACCCTGCCAACACCTACCTGGCACAGAATAGACCCAGAAGACTGGAGTGGCAGTGTCGCAGGACTGTAATCCCAGCACTCAGGAATCTGAGACTGGAGACTGGGCTGTGCAGCGTTCCAACAGTCCGCCTAGGGCTAAATAGCCAGATCCCTTAAATGGGCGGGCGGGAGGGGGGCTGGTTGTCACTCCCCTCCCTGGAGGAGATTCCAGCCTAAGCTCCCCTGGCACACACCCACGCTCAGAGCACAGACTGCAGAAGAAAATGCTGAGCAAATGCTAACCTTCACCCAACCCGCACGAGCTTCCCGGGCGGGGGTCGGCGTCCCACGCCGCTAGGGTGCTAGCCGTTACCAGAACAAAGGACAAGAAATCCTGCACGTGTATTCCGCCGCAGCTCAACCAGTTTTAAGAAGCCTGAGAAGGGATGCTGACTGAAAGCAGTAGCGGGCAAAGTGCCCGAGGGTTCAGACCATCCCTGAATCGGCTCTAAATTCTTAGGACCAAACCCGTTTAACAGTTGACAGTCGGGAATTGTTTGGGGAGCTATAAAAAGTCGGAGGACCAGCAAACTGAATAGGAAGTGTTAATAGTAAATATTGCAGAGAAAGCTGCCGCCACCCGCAGGGGGCGTGGAGGAAGACGGAAGCGCCTCTGCACCTCCTACCAGCAGCCCACACTTTCCTCAATAGGAAGTTGTGAAGGAAAAAGTGTCAGGAGCTTACTCTCAAAATGCAGCGTCTGGGGCCAGTGAGATGGCTCATCAACAAATGTGCCTGCTGCCAAACACGCTGAACTGTTTGGACCCCCATGGAAAACCAATCTACCCCCTGACCCCAGGTGCTCCAAGACATGCCTCACACACACACAAGATAAATAAAACATAATTTAAAAATTGGTTTTTGAGGAGCATCTACCAGGCAGATAGGAAAAACCTGTAGTCCCAGCACTAGGGAAATGGAGGAGCAGCTACCAGGCATGATGAGAAAAACCTGTAATCCCAGCACTTGGGAAATGGAACTCCTCTTGGACCAGGAGTTCAAGGCCAGCATGGGCTATATGAGACTGTCTCGAAAACACAAAAGAAACATCTATGTGCAGAAATAAACATTTCTGGAAGCTGGCCAACATATCTCTGTGTATACATGTGTGATGTATATATTTAGATCACAATCTAGGATCTACTAGATCATTTAATACTCTCCAACCGGGCGGTGGTGGTGCACGCCTTTAATCCCAGCACTCGGGAGGCAGAGCCAGGCAGATCTCTGTGAGTTCGAGGCCAGCCTGGGCTACCAAGTGAGTTCCAGGAAAGGCGCAAAAGCTACACAGAGAAACCCTGTCTCAAAAAACCAAAAAAAAAAAAAAAAAAAAAAACTCTCCAGGTAAAATATCTAGCCTCCCTTATTTCCTCCAACCAAAATGACTAAGGGAAGCTGAATAGTCCACCCATAGTCCCCCCTGCAGAGGAAACACACAGGCAGCCCTTGTTTCTGCTACCACATGCCGGTGCTGAATGCATCCACACCCCAGTAAGTTTTCTTGTTCATAACCAAACTTGTGGTTTGGGGTTTTGATTAGGAATGGCTCTGTAAGCAAAGCTGGATCCGGAAATCGGAAATGTGCAACAAGGGCAGTGTTCCTTCTCACCTGAACACTGCAAAGTCAGAACGGTCTTGCAAAAGACACAGGCTCACCTTGGCAACCTTAGGAAAGGAGAGGCTTTACCTCCTAGGAACTCCTTCCCTTCTTGCCTGGAGTTTTTACCTTAATGGAAGCAGAAATCTGAAATCGAGGTGTCTGTGATGCATGGTCAGGCTCCCCTCAAAAGCCCTAAGGCAGAAGCCTCTTCAAGCTTCTGCTGTTCACAGAGGTCTTGGGTGTGTATAACTCCAGTCCCCACTACAGTGCTGGTGTGACCTTCTTCCTAGGCAAACTCTACCACTGAGCTACATCCTCAGCCTTTTTCTTCTCTTACAATGACATTTAATACTGGCTTTAGGGCCCACACTAATCTAGAAAGAAGTTATGTAAAAATCCATCATTATTTAGGCCTGCATGATGGCACACACCTTTAATCCCAGCACTCAAGAAAACAAGGCAGGTGGGTCTCTTTGAGTTAAAGGCTAGCCAGGGCTACATAGTCAGACCTTGACTCAAAACTAAACAAACAAATAATACTGTATGCTGTGGCTGAATAGGACAGAGAAATTATAGGGGCACACAAAAGGAGAGTGCCCTTTCATCCCTAAGTCTGATCGAAGTTTCTAGAACTCCATCACAATTAACATTTCATTCTATTTTGTCTTTTTCTTTCTCTCTCTCTCTCTCTCTCTCTCTCTCTCTCTCTCTCTCTCTCTCTCTCTCTCTCT